AGAACCGTGGCATTAAGAAAACCAAAGGCTTATTATCTACTAAAACATAAAATGAAGCTACTAAATCAAACACGAACTAATAAGGAAACAAACATAAAGAAGCTAAAAAGTAAAAACTATTGAAAGTGTAACGAATATACATAACGAGAGAGAGAGAGAGAGAGAGAAGATATATACATAATGAGAGAAAGAGAGAGAGAATATCTATACATGAATAAGAAAAGAAAGAGAACAAAATCAAGTTATTACAAGCCAAACGTCTTAGAATGTATCAAATATAACAAATAAACTCCACCCCCNAACCAACTGGATCTCATCATCCTCAACTCTAGGTGTGGCTGGGTTGGCGAAAATATGACGCACTGCCTCATCAGTGTAGGCAGCAAGGTCCGGCTCATCAGACTGGCCAGCTGGTGCTACCGATGCAGATGGGGCTGCGGGATCAGGTGTCGATTGGTGCGGGTCAAGTAACATATCATATGACAGGTCTCCGGCTGTAGCAATTCTTTTCACTTATCTTCGGAGCTTGTCCACTTACTTCTTGCTAGTTGAGATTTCCTCATCTTCTTTACTTCTTTTCCCATCTCTTCGATCATTGACCCATGATGTACAAATGCAACCATAATAGTGTTCTGGTTTTCTACGATCTTCTTCAATGTCTCTTCCACGGTCGGGGGAATCTGAGGTGCCTAAATAGAAGACTGCACTGCAACAGTACTGGATAAGTCAGACATTTTTGCAGTGGCTGTATGCATCCAGTTGTTGAGGCTCGCCAATGTCTATCGCGCCCTTTTTTCTCGCGAAATCGGGTTTCGACACGTGACAGCTCTTTTAAGGAAGACGTTAAAAGAGAGAGTCGCCACCTAACGGGTTTGAGGTGCGTTAGGGCACCTATTTGCAAATAAGTCTGATTTAACTAGTTTGCATCACCAAAGATCGGGTAAGGGCTCAAATTACCTCAAAGAGAAGGTGTTAGGCACTCTTCGAGGCCCACAACTGTGGGTCCTGGCCGAACTCAAATTATATGAATTAGTCAAGCAAACAAAGACAAAGAAAGCAAGGAGTTTGGGANGTACAAGACAAACAAAGACAAGAAAGCAAGGAGTTGGAGAATTCATTATTAAAGACTTGAGTAACACAATAATTGATTTAAGACAGATCGGGGGGGGGGGGTCCTAAGTTTTTTAGCCTAAATGATCACCCCGTGCAACATAAATAATACTTCATAACTCCCTCGAGATGGGGTGTTACTTGTATTATTCAGCGGGCACAGACTACCATCTCCTGGTACCCTATTACTATCTTTAAGTTTTTACCTAAGCGCACTAATTGATTCCAAACCGTGCCTTATGCGTGCACTACCCGTCTCATGCCTATGGCCCAGGAGGCTTTGGACCTCTATTTTGGGTGGTTCTAGACTTTACCTAGGTTGCTCAAAAATGACAAATCTAAGCGACATTCAAAACATGGAGGACTACACATAAGGGGCAACAAATGGCTCAAGTTAGCCTCCACATGTAAACAACAAATGCACGCTAACAGGTGTGTAATGAGGGAGTAGACGATTTCAGAATAGAGTCTTTAAATCCTATGGTCATGGCCTCTATGTGATTCTGAATTTTAAATGTACAGGCAATGTTGTTGTCTTAACACGACAAATTTGCATATTACAAGCATTACAAATCCTATAGGCATGCTTTCTAATTTGTTTGCAAAATAAGGCAGTGAGACGGTTTGATAGTTCAATTGCCAGCGTTTTATCAACATACTTTCTAGGCGAGAAATAGGGTCCTATTGGCAAGATATCTAAGAATCGGCGATTGAAGCTGGTTTTCTATCGTTTCATTCCTATAAGCATGCTTTCTAGGCGAACAATAACAGTAATTGCAGCTAACTTGATTATATTCCTATAGGCATGATATCTACGTGAATATTGTAAAGAGCAGGTATTTATGACTTAATGTAATTCTACATGCATGATATCTAACATGAATATTGTGAAGAGCAGGTATTTATTACTCAGTGTAATCCTATAGGCATGGTATCTAACATGAGGCAATTTGAATAAATAATTACTGTATTACAGTGCAGTAAAAACGTGTGAAAATAGACATGTGAGCAGATGAGATTATTTATGTCCTATAGGCATGTTGTCTATCAAAACAGATCGAAGCAGAGCATGTTGAACACATCAAACACTCAGATCCTATAGGCAAGATTTCTACCCTTTTTATGCAAACATTAGAATAAATCCATTTTCCCAATTTTACTAATACCCCAATTGTTATTACAGAATTATTATAGGCCCAGGAATGAAATAAATTACAAAGTGATAGAAATAACTATAGTAGGCCTAAGACATGCCCAAAGTATACCCAGCCCAGCCGGGCCTTCAATTTCGTATCCATACAGGTTTCACCGTAGCCCAGAAACCTCAAGAGCACTCGAACCAGACCCAGTAGCCATAGTTGATCAAAGGATCCAGAAAACAATCATTTACACAAGCCAATTGGCTTATTCAGTAGGCATATAGATGTACAAAATTGAGTAATTAGGACAAGGTGGCTAAAGAACCTTAGGCCCTAGTGTGTCAGAGTTCACAAGGGTCTCAAAGTGGACCCCAAGCAGTGCTCACACTAAGGAGGTTACTAAAGAAGTTTTAGGGGGCCTTGGCTTTCAGCCGACCAAGAATTAGAAACTCAGAACAGGAAACAACCAATGAAAATAGTAGTAAAGTAATAAGGTTTGGAAAAGCATTTGCAAACACTACAAAATGATCACATAATGAACATGTCAACACAGAGGGTGCATGAATTCATGAAAATAATTTGATACTGCAAATTCTCACTTAACACATTGGGGCAGGGGACATATTGATAAAAAACTAGGAGCCTGAAGCTTATAGGATTACCCAGTTAATAGGCAAGGAGCATCAGGCTAGTAAGACGATTAGTTGTCACTAATGCAACAAGTGTAAAATCTAAAGGATCAAATTATGCTAAACACAGGGATCAAATAACTTATACTAATGAAGCAAGCCGAATCATAATTTAGGCAAAACTAGTCTAAGAGGTTCAACTTAATTGCTAGGGGTACAGAACTGGGTAGGGCAAGAACGTAATGAGTGACAAAACATAGTCATAGGGGCACACTACACACTTAGGGTGAAGGTTTTAACAGGCATATTAATAACATCAATTAGTCACTAGAAATTCAGAATCAGGCAGGAAACATGGATTAGGCCATATAATTAAGGCAAAGCACTCAAATTATCAATAACATTAGGATAAACACGCTTCGAATTGTGCAAATTGCCTAAGTTAGATACAAACACATTTTCAGGACCAAAGTTTAGGCGTGAAACAATGCTGGAGAAGTTCATGCTATAGACAGAATTACACATGAAGAAAGTCAAGGAATCATATACAATTTCAGAGAACACAAATATGCAAATTGGCACATAATGGAATAAACATTACGGAGGTTGAGAACTAACCAGTTATTGCTCAACAAACAAGAAAAAGAACAGCAATCAGGACCCAGAATCTCAGATGCGTCAAGTTCCCAAGGGCATCGAGAACCCAGGGCAGTGCTCACACCCAAGAAAAGTCGGAAAGTAGGAAATCTGGTGGCCATGGCTTTCAGCCGGCCAAGAACCAAACGGAACAAAATAACAAGTGAACACAGAGTAAAAGCCCCAATATTTCCAGTGAAGATTAGCGATTCAAGTCCTGTCTAGAAGGGAATGGGGGAGGGTTTATATAATAGTAAGAATCAAACGGTAATAGAGTGATTTAAGCAACAAACAAGGAAAATATACACAAACAAGTCTAAAAAATCAATTTAAGAGATCTGTAAACCCTAGTTTTTTTAGGGAAAGTAAATATCAATAGAATATAAACAAAAATCGGACTCACAGTAGAATAGGACGAATATAGACAAAATAACACTCACAAATCAGAGATTTGAACCAATTTTGGTTCGATTTTGAAGAGATCTATAAACCCTAATTTTTAGGGACAGTAAATATCAACAGAATATAAATAAAATCGGACTCACAGTAGCATAGGACGAATATAGACGGAATAGAGATTGGTTCGATTTTGAAGAGATCTGCTTGCCATGTTTAGGCAAGCACTATAGGAGAATAGCCAGTACCTGAAAGGGGTTGAGTATGGTAAGAAATAAAGATCAAATCCCATATTTGGTGGGATTAGGAGAAGAATTTGGGGGGCGGCGGCTTTACGGTTCTTCAGAGAGGGAGGGGAGGTTGAGAGGATGTGAGGGCGGCGGGTTATGGGAGGGTAAGGTAATTAAAATAGAGGGATTAGATATGGGCCGTTGATCTCAAAGATCAACGACCATGATTAAAAGGGGGTTGGGCTAATTTGAATGGGTAGCGACCGGGTTTTGGGTTAAAGGGGTTATTGGTTTGGGCTGATGTTATTGGGCTAGTGTATTGGTAAGAAAATGTTAGAAATTGGGGCTAGTATTTAAATACCCAATATTTTTATCAATAAATAATTTATAAATAAAAAAAATATTATTTCTGCACTAAAATGATTGAAAATAATAATTAACATTATAAAAATATAAAAAGTTATTTTAGCATATATTATGTAATTATACATGAATATAAGTTATTATTGCAAAAATATGCAATTAGCCTAAAAATACAAATGTAATTATGAAGAAATGAAGTAAAATATTTAAAAACATGCATGTTGGTGTAAATAATAAGTTTGGATGATTAAAACATCACAAAAATAATTTGAAGGATAATTATTGAATGTTTATACAATAAAAATGCAGAAATGAATTAATTTAGGGCTTCTAAAAATAATGGAAAATTATGTAAAATGCTTGTATAGGTTTATAAACTAAATAATGATGCAAATATAATATTTTAAAAGTATATATATACAATTAAAAAATATGAGGGAAAAATTGGGTAACAACAATGTCTGGGAGACTCGCAGTGCAGAGAGTGGTCAGTAGGCATGGGCGCCGGCTTCAAAACCGAAGTGGAAGATGTGGCAGGAACTGCAGTGGAAGCTGTGGATGATGGTGGAGGCATGGCTGCAGCACTGGAGGAAGGCTCGGCTGACGTGGATGGAACATCATATGTCTCAACAACTACCATGGTTGGCTTATCAGACTAGCCTGTGGTGGTAGAAGGATGAACTTTCCTTTTCGGGTTGTTCGCATACATAAGTGAGTACCAAGATAAAGGCTTCTTCGACTTCACCTTTGTATCAAAATCCCTTGGCTCTACCCTCGCACCCGTAAGATACTCTGTAATGGTGTTGGGATACGGGTAGGACGAGTCAACTTGCCAGGCGATCACTGAGATATTGGTCGACATCACGACACCCACATTGATAGGGTACCCGGCCATAATAGAAGCAACCAAGACTGCCCGAGGAATCGGCAGGTGAGTCTTATTTTGACTTGGGTCCAGTCTGCTGCAGACAAAGGATTGCTACCCTTTTGCCTCGAAGCTCAGTGTGCTCCGATGGATAGGAACCCCAGTGGCGACCCATGGTGGTGGTGGTCTTGGTGCTGTTAGAATCTTCACTAACCAAGGACGGATTGCATCTCCCAAGCACACTTTTCCATGTATTCTTTCGGCTCGACACCATCAAAGCCCAAGTATGTGTTGAGTGTGTGCTGTTCAAATCGCACCTTGAGGTTACACACTTTTGTCACCTTTGTCCCCTTTTTGATATACGCCACATTGGCATAGAATTCCTGAACAAGATACTCATTGGCATCCACTACACTCTGAGTAAACCACATCCACCATTTGCATTCTCTGAATTGTCTTAGCACAACGGGTTATACCTCTCCAAATTTGTCAGTAAGATCTGTCGCTCAAGGGCTAGCGACCTCGCCGGCCACCATGTGCAGAAGCTAGTGAAAGCTACCAGGCTGACAAATCGGTCCTCCCAGACCTCTTTCTTCTTTGTTCTTTCAAGGTCGGCAGTTGCAACATCTCCCCTTCTACCATCATCGGGGATGTCCTGAATGGTTGTATCTTGTGTCATAAGGACTGGTGCAACTGAAGGCTCAGAAGCTTGACTAGCACTTTCTAATCCCTCGGAAGTGTTGTGAAGTGAGGACGGCTTGTCCCTGAGTTGGAATCTCCCCCGTGGCCTTGCCTGTAATACCGGTTGTTCCTGAACAGAGGCTGAGTTGCCCTCTGATACGTCCCTAGACAGCGCATATGAGCTCGTCTCGAAGAGGTCTGCACCTCTTTCTCTCACAAGTGTTGTCTTTTTTCCGATTTCCTTTTGTTGGGAAAGAGGTAAGTCTCTCTTGCCTTGTCCCCGAGAAGGTTCACCCCTCCCTTTAGATGTGTCACATTGTCACGCCCCCTTCTTTCCTCCTCGCGGAGAACGTCCGGGTTTCGACATTTCATGGGGGAACAACTCTTTTCCTTTTGGGAATTGGGTGTTTGAAGAGTCTCCACCTAATGGATTAAGGTGCGTTAGGGAACCTAGAGTAATTAACTCATGAAACTAGTTTGCATTACCAGAGATTAGGGTAAAGGCCCGAAATAATCTTGAGGGGAAGGTGTTAGGCACCCCTCGCGGTCCACAACGGTGGGTCCCGACCGAACTTATATGAATCAGTCATTTAGAACAAGTAAACAGTTCACCACGTATTTGCAAATAAGGGCATATTTTTATATTCTAAATACAGAGACAATTCAGGTAATGGGAGCAAAAGAGAAACTTGAACAATTTGCACATGTATATGTAAAGAGAAGAAAGTTTATAAAATTTAAACACATATGGAATTGGGAAAAGGGGGTCCTAGGTTGGTTAGCCTACAGGATCATACCCACACAATGCCCGGTAATCACTCCTCAATGAGGGGCTACACATGGCATTTGCGCATAGTCATCATATCCTTACTACCCAATTCCTTCCCCTTTGGTCATGGCCTAAAACGTTCTAGCAACCTTGAGAGATATCCTATGCGTGCACTACCCGTCCCTTCCTTGTGGCCTTGGAGGTATTTAGGACCTCTAATTCAGGTAGTTCTAGACCATCCTAATGCACTTAAAGGAGAAAAATCTAGGCGTCAAACAAAACAATTAGGACTGCGCTGAAAGGAGAACAATTAAAGGCTCACATTTACCTCCACAAACATAGCAAACAAGTGCACGTCTTAAACACAGTTTCAGGTATTTAAAAGAAGCCCTATAACAGGATATCTAAGTGAGCAGAGAATATGCAGTATTGAGTTAGGACCAAAGCATGAAAGGCCTATTCAGTTTGCCTACTGATTTTAGACCTGTTGAATATGAGCAGTCTCAAATAACAAGGCAGAGTTTTATAGGTTTGCAGAATCTTAGTCGCCCTACGGGCTTGCCTAGTCGTGTAATAGTGATTTCCTATGAGCATGGTATCTAATCACTGATCAGGAATGCAGTAAAACATTAAGCAATTTTAAAAACGACAATTTGAGTCCTACAGGCATGCTTTCTAGTGATGTTGATTGAGTAGGCTAATTAATCTGATTCAGAACTTACAGGTGTGAGTTAAAGTTGGACATATTTTAGATCTTATAGGCATGGTTTCTATTAAAGCATAAGGCGAAACAAGCAGAATTTATTTGACCAAAGCGAAATTCCTATAGGCATGATTTCTATTAAGGCTGATTTAGACCCTATAGGCATGATTTCTAATTGTGAAAGTAAAGCAAGCAAGAATTTGTTTGAACCAAAGCAGATCCTATAGGCATATTATCTAACTAACACATCAAAATAAACCCTATAGGCATGTTATCTACCCAACCTTACCCACAATATACAACTCCTTCCCTTTTTCACTAGTCATCCCAATGTTTGTTTACAATTGATTATTACAGACCAAGAACTGAATAAATTACATAAAACACAATGTACATTAAACTACAGGGAGCCTGAAGCAGGCCCAAAGTAGTTTCCAAGCCCTCAGTAACCTCAAGTGCTCAAAGTTCCAAAGCCAATTTCATGTCTAGGTGTGTCAGAGTTCCCTAAGGACCTCAAGGATCCCGGGCAGTGCTCACACCCAGACCTTTCCAAATGAACTGATTTATGTGCAGTGTGGAAGGGCCATCCCTGATATGCCAGAGTTCAGAGAGATTTCAAGGGCCTCAAGGCAGTACACATACCAGAGGGGCAGGACTTAGTAATCTAAGAATAATGTGAGAGTGCATAATGATTTGAAAGAGTTTGGTAAACAGTAGCAAATAGGCCTTGGGGGGGGGGGGTAAAAGATTTTCTGAAATCAATACTAGTTAGGGTGGAAAACAGTTTGAGAAAACATGAAGAACATTTTGAGATCAGAGAGCAAGTCACAGAACACACAGTTTCAGAAACATTTTGGGAAAACAGACTTCACACAAGGAGAAAGGGGTAGGGGAAACATATGGATGCACCTTAGTGATAGCAAACCAATACGCAGATTCCTCAAGAAGTTGTGGAATTGAAAAGTTAGTTACAAATACATGCTGAGAACACATAGGTCTTCAATCATGACCAATACACAAACAATGTAGCTTGAACATACTAGTGAACAAATAAGATTCATGAAATTAGCTAAAGCAGGATTGGGCATGTTAAATAATATACTAGTTGTAATCTTTAACATAACCAAACTTACACATGCTGAATGATACAATAATTAGGCAGTGTAATCCAAGCATGATGATTACATATGGAGCACATGACAGTAGTGTCACGACCCTAGTTCACCAACCGTGAATATGTCATGACGGCACCTGGTCCCCATGACCAGGTAAGCCTAACATTTGCGGAAATATAATAATTGCAGAAAAATAGAGAAAATCAATTCAAATATCTAAAGGAAACTGTACTAAATGCCGTTTGGCAAGTACAACTCAATATCACAAGTCTAAAACAATTCCCAAAACCCGGAAACTCACGGGCAACACAGGCTACGGAAGTGTATAGTAAAGGTTCCAAACTCCAGAATTTCTAATAACCGAAAGAAGGAAAACTAAGTACTAAAGATAGAATAAGAGGGAGACTCGTCGGTCTGCGGACGCAGCAGATCTACCTCGAAGTCTCCGTAGTCCTCCTGTCTCACTGATAGTGCGCCTGCGTAGAGGTACCTGGATGATCTGCACATGAAAAACATGCGCAGGAAGGGCATGAGTACACCACAGCGGTACTCAGTAAGTGCCAAGCCTAACCTCGGTTGGGTAGTGATGAGGAAGGTCAGGGCCATACTGAGATAAAATATGGTAATAGCAATAACTAACAATATGATAATCTGACAGAAATAATAAATACAGCAGTGATATAAGACAGATTAAGCAAGGCAATAGCAAATACACAAGAACGGAACAACCACAGAATAAGTACAGCTCAACACCAATGGTAACAATGAGGATCTCCCAGGATACCGTCCTGTAGTCCTTTTCTCAACTGTCCAGTGGATCTCCCGGGATACCGTCCCGTAGTCCATCATATGTGTATATCCGAAGGATCTCCGGGGATACCGTCCCGTAGTCCAACTATCAATGTGCAGGGGGATCTATCGTGAATCTAACCCGCAGTCCCAAAGTAAAAGTGCAGGGGGATCTACCGGGAATCGAACCCGTAGTCCCAAAGTAAACAAACAACGGGGGGGGGGGAGCTACCGGAATCCCACATCCGTAGTCCCAATGTAAGTGCACAATCACAACCAGAAGGTACATGGAAACGAAGTACAAAAGACAAGCAACAGGTAGTACTGGCCTAGCATGCTTCACGTAGTACAGTTAAGGCAACTTAAGCAATTAGGCAAGTTAAATCAACTAAACATGCTTTCCTAATCTAGCACAAGTTATAATTGCAAGTAGAATAAAGGAAATATGAAAGGAACTCAATCGCAATATCTTAGGAAAAATCGGATTTCCAACAATTGGCTCAAGTACACGCCCGTCACCTCGCGTACAAGGCACTCAAATCAACAAGTAACAAATCCTAAGGGGAAAGGTCCCCCACACAAGGTCAGACAAGCCACTTAACTCGAATCGGCACCAAAATCAACTCGAAATCACACTTTTGCCGCGAGTATCCGACTCCAAATGGACCAAATCCAGTGATCTTCACTTCAACTCCCACTTATAATCGCCTTAAACCGAGCTCTCAATTGATTTTCGTAACTTATGAACTCAAACCCTCGAAATTTCAATTTCTGCCCAGGGATTTCCGCTTCTGCGGACAAGGGACCGCTTCTGCGGTCCCGCTTATGCGGAAAGTGAGCCGCTTCTGTGACTCTCACTAAACGACCACATCCGCTTCTGCGGTCCAGTCAACCGCTTATGCGGTTCCGCTTATGCGGATTATCCACCGCTTCTGCGGTTCCAACTAAAAGCCAAACGGCCGCATCTGCGGCTATTTCCTCGTAGATGCGAGGCCGCTCCTGCGGAATTTCCTCCGCATCTGCGATGCCTGGAAACTCTGCCCCAAACCGCTTCTGCGATGATCCAGCCGCTTATGCGGCTCCGCTTCTGCGGTTCCCAAGCCGCAGAAGCGAAAATACCAGAAGATGAAAAGAACCAGCTGCTGCAACACTTCAAAAATCTCCCCGTTAACCACCCGAAATCATCCCGAGGCCCCCGGGACCTCAACCAAAAGCACCAATACCACCTAATATCTTATTCAAACTTGTACCAATCCTTAAAACACCTAAAACAACACCGGAAGTCTGATTAAATCAAAGATTCAAGCCTAAGAACTTCAAATTCCAACAAAATACACTTTCGATCAAAAACCAAACCAACCTCGCCCGAATGACCTGAAATTTTGTACACACATCCCAAATGAGATGACGGAGCTACTTCAACTTCCGGAATTCCAATCCGACCCTCCGATCAAAAACTCGCTATCAGACCGGAAACTTCAAAAATTCAAACTTCGGCATTTCAATCCTAAATGAGCTACGAGCCTCCAAAATAATTCCGAACACGCTCCCAACCCCGAAATCACCTAACGGAGCTAACGGAACCATCAGATTTCCATTCCGAGGTCTTCTTCACACTGTTCCGATTAAGAACCATTTTTCAATTCTTAAGCTCTCATTTAGGGACTAAGTGTCCCAAAACACTCTGAATCCCAACACTGAACGTCCCGGCAAACCAAAATAGCAGAAATGAACTTAGGGGAAGCAGTTAATGGGGGATCGGGGCGTCAATTCCAAAAACGACCGGCCGGGTCGTTACATCCTCCTACACTTAAACATTCATTCGTCCTCGAACGAGCATAGAGAACATACCTGAAGAAGTGAAAAGATGAGGGTACTAGCT